TGGCAGCAGGACTGGCCTGGGGCCGGTCCAAAGGTGTCAGGGTGCCACATCTGGCCCCCGGGCCTTAGGTTGCCTACCCCTGACTCAGAGGGTTGGGAAGGAAGGGCCGCCAGGAAAGAACCAGACCCCATCACCCTCAAGTAGGGTTGCCATCATTGGGCCTTTACAGACTACCAGAAATAATGCAACTTGAGACCACTTTAACTGCCCTGGCTCAGTGCTAGGGAATCATGGGAACTGTAGTTGATTGTGGCCCCAGAGCTCTCTGACAAAGAAGGCTCAATGTCTCAGAAAAAAATACAGTTCCCATGATTCCCTAGTACTAAGCCAGGACAGTTAAAGTGGACTCAAGTTGCATTATTTCTGGAAGTCTGTAAAGGCCCATTTTCTACCACCAAACTGGGACAAAATGTAGAAGAAGGGGAAAAATGTAGGACAAAATTTTAGGTCCCAACTGTAGTGGTCAAAGCAAAAAGGTGTTGTCCTAAACCAAAAAAACAACAAAAAAAAACCAGTATGGCAAACAGAAAGGTCTAGGAAAAAATAATGAAAAAACATTACATAAGAAGGTTTAATTGGAGCATGCAGGATATAGAATTTATTGCCTGATATAATCCTTACTTATACTGGATGACTCCGTGCAAATAGGCAAATTACTGTGCTGTTACAACAGTTTTATTTTCCACTGAGGAAGACACTTACTCGAAACGTGTTTGGTTTTATTGTTATTTGGTATCTTTTATATTACATATCCTCTGGAAGTGCATATACTTCTGCTCTTTCACGTACTTTGAATGTTGGCTATTTTTGTATTGTATATGTCATTTGAGAATTCTGATCTTCTATGTAATTGGCTGTGCATCTATTGTTTATAATATATATATATATATATATATACAGAAAGCATATACATTATGTGTGGTTTTTACTTTTTGGCACAGTGTATTGTCTTGTCCAAACACTGTTAACCTGGATACCAAAATGTAGGACAACATTTAGGTCAGACTGTAGGACATTTGAGAAAAATGGAGGAAACAACCAACTAAAAGCCAACAACATTAATAATAATAATAATAATAATAATAAAACATTAATATAAATCCATGCTTCTTAATCATGTTCAAAATGGAGGAGATTTTGACATTCTTCCTGGACAGAAGGTTGAAA